AGCTGTTGCGGCGAACCTTGAGTACACCGAGAGATGCGCCGAGATGCGCCGAGATGCGGGCGAGACTACCTCTGGAGCGGTCCAGGATCTGCATCGCCCAATCCCGGCTACTCTCGGCTGTATCTCGCCTTGAGGAGCGGGCCGAGGATCTGCATGCCGGCGACGAAGACCATAGTGAAGCATTGGAGGATGACGCCGCCTAGTGCGGCAGCAGCACGCAATTGGTGTGGTATGAATGCTTTCGCTGCGGTGAAGCCCTGGAGCGTGAGCCGCGCCGACGATCGGCATCGGGATGGAGGCCATCGCCGCGCCGACCTGAGGTGTAAGGCAAGGTAAGCTCCCCTCTCCCTCTCTCTCTCTCCACACACACACAACGGCAGTGGTGGTGGGGCAGGAGCTCTGGCAAGAAGGGGGGAGGCTACCTTGCCGAAGAGTCCGATGAAGATGAGCCAGCCGGCGCACGCGAAGCCGGCCGAGCGCGACGCGCACCTGCGTTCACCTCGCGCTGTGAGAGGCGGGCTGGGGTTCACAGCCTCGAGCTGTGAAGACGGCGGTCTGTTCACAGTGGTGTGTGCGGAGCCCAGCTGGCCGGGGCACAGCGAGGGGGGTGCAGTCCGCACTTGGTGAGCGCGATGATGCCGTTGTTCTGCGAGAATGTTGTGTTAGGCGGCGAGCCTGTGAGAAGGCGTGGTGAGAAGGCGTGAGAAGAGACGCTGCTCGGCCGGGGCCTTGGAGGTGAGGTCGGAGGCGAGATTGCGGGAGATTGCGGGGGTGATTGCGGGAGGTTGCGGGAGATGAGGGTTGGTCTGTAGGAGGCGCCGCAGAGGCACGCGATGATGGAGTTGACTCCGTCCGCCAGCACGCCGCCCTGCTGCCTGTTCACAGAGGACGCGCTGTGAATAGACGCTGTCCGCAGCCGCTGCGCCGCTCGCCGTGGGCGCGTCTGCGCTGCCTCGCGATGATCTCGGCCTCGTCGGTTACCTTTGAGAACTTTGCCGTCATCTTGACGTCGCCGATGGTCTCTGCGGTGGTGATGAAGGAGCAGATGAGCAGCGGCAGAAAGTACTCGATCGCGAAGCCTGCTCACGCGCGCGAGGTGTGAAGAGGCGCCGTTCACGGCTCCAGCCCGACCGCAGCTTCGAGGGGCGGGTTGTGCCGGGCGTGAACTGGATCTCGGACCAGAAGAAGGTGAAGACGGGCGCCTGAGGAGTCCATGCACCCCGTTCAGCCGCTGGACCGGATCTCGGATTCAAGCGAGGGGGAGAGGGGCGGGCGCGCGTTCGAGATGCGGGTGTCGGTCCAGTACCCGAGGGTCTCGCCGGTGGCCGGGTCCTTGTACGTCGCGATGGCCGAGACGAGGCAGCCGAACATCATTGACCAGAAGAGGAAGGTGGACTTGAGGTAGGGCGAGCCGAGCATCTGCGCGAGGCTCGCCGACGCTTAGCCGAGAGCTGCAAGAGTCTCCCAAGGTGGGGGTGATGGGCCGGTGATTCGCCGAGATGCGCCGAGGTGCGCCGAGGTCTTACCTGGATGAGGATGCCCATGAGCACGACCGAGAGGCCGAGCCCCCAGTACTGGCCCGCGCCAAAGGCAAGCATGACCTTGGTGGGTGGGGGGTGGGTGGTGGGGGCAGAACTCGGGGCGATGTCGAGCCAACTGGAAGAGGTTCTTCTGCCGCAGCTCGACGCGCGAGGGTAGCTCCATCAGGATGACCTGCGCGGGAGATGTGGGGAGATGTGGGGAGGTGTGCGGAGATGCGGGGAGGTGTGCGGAGATGCGGGGAGGTGCGGGGTGATGAGTTCCTCCGGTCCATACTGCTGCTGCCGCTGCCGCTGCTGCTGGTGGT